TGGCAAGTGGCTATCGTTAGAGCACTCCAGCATTTAAATGTGAATAAATCTTTTGTGTCTCGTACCATCGCACGTTAACGTGACACTGGTAGCGTAGCCCGACGTCGACGGAAGAAAACAGCAACATCAGCAGAAATGGTTCGAAAAGTAAAGAAGCGACTGATCAAAATCCGCGTCGCAGTGGTCGAAAAATGGCTCGTGAGCTGAACATATCGCAATATTCCATTCGGCAAATATTAAAAAATGAGCTCGGGGTAAAGCCACTGAATTTCCAAAAAGTACAAGAACTTACACCGCAACAGAAAAAATAGACTCAAAAGAGCTAAAAATGAGTGTGGGCCGCCATAACAGCCTATGATCGCTCTCTGCTCGTATTAATCGACAGTGGCATCAGAATAAATGACGAATATAATCGCGAAAATATTCTGGAGGGTGTATTAAAGCCTTGGGCTCGCAAACATTTTGGCCGCAGACCGTGGACATTCCAACAGGACTCAGCTCCATCGCACTCAGCACGCGCCACCCAAGAATTATTACAAAATGAGGTTTCTCGCTTCATTTCCAGCGCATAATGGTCACCAAAATCTCCGGATACCAATTCGTGGACTTTTGTGTCTGGAGTATTTTGGAAAGCAAGGTTGGCACTAAAAAAAAAAACAAAGTGTCGATCACCTCAAGCAAGCGCTTCCCCGGGAATGGGCCTAAATACCGCAGAGCAACATTCGGGCAGCGTGTGACGGTTTCATTAGCCGTTTGAAGGCCATAATTCGTGCCAAAGGTAACCAATTCGAACAAATCTAAACTTATTCTAAAATTTGATGCTATTTCCGACATTTTTGGCTTTCATCAAAAAAAAAATTAAAAAAAATTTAAATATTATGGCGTTTGACTTAGTTGCAGTTTATTTATCTCACCCTGTATATTTTTATAAAACTTAAATCGAGTTCGAAGATGGGTCCACTCTTTCTGGTATCTCTCCCACAAATGGTTGAAATTTAAAAAATATATATATTTTATTTTATTTAAGTCCACCCCATTCACTGTGCCATTTAGTTTGATTAAGAACAATAGTTATATTACATTTGTGTGAATAAAGAAAAGTTAATGAGTAGTTTTACAAACATCACACAAATTTTATGACAATGGCAAGTAATAGTTATTTGGAAGGTGACATCATTGTAACCATCTTAGAAATCGATAACATTTATATAAAAACAATGCCATGTTCCTTGACATCATTTATATTTCCTCCTGAGTATATGTACATAGCATTACTCTACAAATATTAATACCGGAATTGCCTCATTGCTGAGTGGGGCTTAGTTAACAACTTTCACAATTTATCACATTTCATTATACGGCCAACTAAACCATTTTTCAATTTCAACGTAAAAAATGACCAAATTTCAGCAATGTGCTATTAAGATATAATACGTTTAGAGGACAAAGAAAATCATAAATTGTGCTATTAAGCATAAATCTTTTTTTCTGTTCACACAAGAAATATATTCACGACGAATATATATTCTGCATGCTATTAAGTATTTTTATTAAATAAAACATTTAAATTATACCACACAAAGGTGTATTATGATGATGGACATAATTGAATATTATATTTTTTTCTCACAGTAAATTACGCGTATGGTGGTCGCGACGCTTGCCCACCGACAAAAAACCAACATAGCTACGGACATTTCTTTGTGTGGCATGTGAATTATTCATGACATTTTATCATTAATATTGTTATTACCATTCCAACACCTTAATCTTATCAATAAATCATTTTCGTTTTTTGTATTCTTTGCAGCATTTGCCTAAATTATTAATAATATTAGCAGCGGGTGAGAATAACTAATTATGTATATCCTAAACGTTTGTTTGTGTTTGCCGTTAATTTCATTAATTGGGATTCAAATTGATGATAAAAGGAGAATTATTTTTAAAAAGTTATGAATGTATTCTATAGAGAACATAAAGAATTAATAACAGGTCAATAGCCGAAACTACAAAAAGTGGGAATACCGATCAAAATCTCTTATCCGGGCATTTGGAAATGAGAATACCTTTCAAAATGGGACAGGCAAGGAAAAATAAAAAAACGACACTTATAGATACGAAAACCCTGTAAAATTTAATGGAAGTGGTTACATGTGGGTATTTGCTTGCGTCCTTATCGATCTTTTCTTCGAGAATTGAACTAATCGCTTAAAAGCTAACACACATATATTTGTTTTTAATTAAAAGTATTAACGCAAAAAGCTATATTTTTCGTTGCAAAATAGAAGTGAACAAAATGTTCAGAATCTGTCTTTTAAATTGAAGTTAAAGACAATGTGAAAACCACATATTTTATATACCGACAAAATTATTTGCGATATTATCCATTTGAGATGAAATTTTGTATAGTATATCTTTTTAATATAAAAACAAATTCTTGTCGATTTCGGTCCAGAATTGTGTATAGCTCTCATATATAAAGTCCTCCGATGTTAACTTTTTTGTACACCAAATCTCAGTTGTAATTGTTTAAATGCAATGCCGAATGTTGGGAGAATGTGACATCACAAAGGTTTAGAGAAAATATCACACCGAAAAAAATGTAATGCTAGTGGTTGGGTACTTAAGTTCCAAAATCATTTAGATCTTTTACCTATCGCTCTCTTGTAAAAAGGGGGAGTGCAAGTGTCAAAAAAGATACAAATCCATATCACTTGTACCGAAGTTTGAACAGCGTCTTTGGCATCGACACTAAATGCCTTAAAATGATGAAATGAAAATTGAGGTTATGTAATCATTCTGCATTGGAGGATAGCGGGAAGATTATCTAGATTTGTTGGGTGATGAGCTAATATTTAATTGACGTTTTGAACAAGGAGGATTGTGTTAAACCATATCACGGCTACGAAACTATCTGAATTTGCGTAAAAACATTCTAATCGGAAATTCCATTCAATTTTTTATACTGAAATGTGGACAGTTCAGCTATTGGCATGGTTATGAAACCAGGTTTGGCTCATGAAGTAGAGCAAGTCTATAAGAGTATTTTTGCCGTTGCAAGAATTCGTATCATGTTCCTTAGGGCTTAAAACCCTTGGTGCAAAACAAATTTGAGTTTAAATAAACCAACGAAAAGCAAGGCTAAAACATTAACATGTATCTGCAATTTAAGAATAGATTTCATAAAATTATCTGAAATCATCCCAAATCTATTTGGAGTACATCATAGCACCAGTGAATGAACTACATGCTTTCGTCATCTGACGCATCGACTTTTGTTCTTTATAATACCTTACACCACACTGTGGTCAGTGTAATATGTCTTTGTGCATTTGTGCAATATGTTCAGCTCACGAGCCATTTTTGGGCCACTGCGACGCGAGTTTCGATCAGTTCGCTTCTTTGCTTTTCGAACTATTTCTGCTGATTTTGCTGTTTTTTTCGGTCCACTTTCTTGACGTCGGGCTAGCTCTAACGGGAGTGATCTAACGAGAGCCACTTGTGGTTCTCCAATCACACTATCACGCTTGAATTCCATCACGATTCATTTTTTTCTGAAAAATTCTCACCAAAATGCTTTTGTACGCTTGTAAACAATATAATTAGCTGTCACTGGAATAATTTTAACAGCTGTCGGACGATTGGCTTAGCAATGACAGTAGTCTGAAGTTGATTGCAGTTTTTTCATTTCACCCTGTAATATAAGTCCAAATATTTATTATTTGGCATAAACAACCAAATCGAGCCTAGAAACAAGTGTGTCAAATTCGGTGAAAATCGGTTGAGATGTAGCTATAGCTCCCATATATACTCTTCATCTGATTTGTTAAATCGCACCTTCAGAGCCGTAATATGCATTACGTAACAACGACATACGGAGAAGTATGTCAAATACAGCTCAGAAAAACGTTTGCCTAATTTTATCGAGATCGGTGCAGATTTTCACCATTGGTTTCCATAATTGAATGGATTTTGTGACATACGCACGAATTTAGCCTTAAAGAAAGTGTATCAAATTTGTTCCATCCGATTTTGTATTTTACTTCCTCACACACGTAAAATACACTCCCTAACAACGATAGTTGGTGCTAACGTGTTTATTGTGCCTAAAAATTGCAATATCAGCTCAAGTTGGATGGATTTTAATGAATATTAGTTCAGACGCAAATGCCTCCGTCAAATTTAGTAGAATATTATAGAAGTCTGCCATATATTAGTTCCTTTCGGCTTTAACTACTTTAAAACCATCATAGTTGGTATGTTTTAATTCTCACAAAATTTTTTGTAATATCGTTTATTTGTTATATGTAGCTCTACTATACATGCAAAGTGGTGTAGGGTATTATTAAGACGGCCCAGTACGTCCTTGGACTTTCTTTACCGGTTTATTATTTAAACATGTAGTTAGGGCTAGACAAGAGCAAGCTAAATCTCTTCTATAAACTGTGAAACTAGGGCCCTTAGAAATAGCATAAAAGATATGACAGTCATTATTCTTCAAATATTTTTCAACCTTCCTATATCACATCTTACTTCAAGAAAAACTATTAAAATTTGGCCTTTCATACAATCAGACCTGATGTTTTCTTTCAAATTATTCTCATTACATCCCAATAAATCATTGCCAAAGAATAGATTAACAAATATACACAGGGTATTGTAAAGGCGGCCCAGTACTTCTTTGGACTTTTTTTACTGGTTTATTATTTAAACATGTAGTTAGGGCTAGACAAGAGCAAGCTAAATCTCTTCTATAAACAGAGAAACAAGGGCCCTTAGAAATGGCATAAAAGATCTGGCAGCCATTATTCTTCAAATATTTTTCAAACTTCCTATATCACATCTTACTTCAAGAAACTTAATAATTTTTGGCCTATCATACAATCAGACCTGGTGTTTTCTTTCAAATTGTTCCCATTATATCCCAATAAATCATTGCCAAAGAATTGTTAAATATAGGTATAAGTAATGTTCATAAAATAATCAAAAAAGACACTTACTGTTACAAGGACGATTCGGTTTTGCAGTCGATTGTGTCGTTCACAAAATTCCTTTAGCAGTGAACGATTATCCTCAAAATCTGCTGGAGGCAGATGTGTATTGTAGAATTCCTCCCAGTTTGACATGATGACGATATTTAGTTAAGCTGCTACTGCTGAGCAATGTTGTAGATAATGATGTGGTTGGTTATGTATGTACTGTTGTTGTTGCTACTACAAATAACGACCGCTGATGTTCTGCTGGAAGAGCAGCTAATGTTGTCGCGTTTAAATTTGATGGTAATGGTGTTGTAAGTACAAAAAAAGTAGATGTAGTTCAGCTGTTTCGAGTCAATAATGGACCAGCAACGGCAATATTACACAAACAATAATGTTTATGTATTTTATGTACTTGTTTTATATACAAAATAGTTGAGAACTTTTTCTTGCTCTCGTTGGATATCAACAGAGGATATGTTCTGATGATTTTTCGACTTTGTTCTTGTTATTGCCGATAAAAATCGCGATTCGTTCAGCAAGGAAATATAAATATAAAATTCACTTGTTCTTTGCACTGCAGTTAATGTGTATTTGTTGGAATTCTTTGGGTTGTTGTTCTTGTTGTAATGCACTTGATAGGTGGAAAAACAAATACAAAAATTATTGTTAACAATCAAGTTATTCCTGTAATGTATACTTGTTTTGAAGTTTTCTGTTAAATGTTCCACGAAATAGTTGTTTTAGCTGGACCAATAGGATATTATATAGCTGTCATTAAAACACACCACCCTGGACCAATTCTGTCTTATGGATTAAGGCCACCAACACAATACTACAACACCAGATGTTGTGGTTGGATACAATTTTTATGGTCCTTGTTCGTTTTTAGCTTGCTTAGCCACCTTTTTTACTTATTTCACTGAAATGAAAGTGGAGGAAAAAACAAAAGAATAAAAATTATTAAAAGTTCATTTAAGAAGAATAAAATATATGAAGGACTCTGGGATGGGGTGGTTGGCATTCATACATGATGGTCAGTTGGTCAGTTGGTCAGTCAGTCAGGATATGAACTGAAAATCAATTAAGATAATTAAAATGTAATTCGCCACAATAGCAACAAAAATGTAATGTTGCAAATAAATAACGCTGACGTTGTTCGGAAAGTTAAAGAAGAACAAAAATATGATGGAAAGAGTGTGAGTGTGTGTGTGTGTACGCAACATGTTGAATACAAACAAATACATTTGTTAATTGAATAGTTACATGTAGTAGTTTGTTTTCAAGGATAACGGAAATATTGCAAAATAATGTTGATGATGAAGTATACATGTCACTGTACCAAAAGAGAATGAATGTCACAGCAGGAAACTGTAATGATACACGACCACTTGGTAAGTGTTATGCTGTTTTCTATCTTTCACACAATAAGTTAGAATTTTTCCACCCATTTCCACAATCGTAAATTAAAGGTCTGAGAATGGAATGAAGGAGTAAAGACAAATAAATTTGAAAATCCTCTTGTTATGGCAAATGAGCAACTGCATGTACAGTGATAGAAAAATAATTGACACAACCGTTCATACGAATAGCTTTGAAGAAAAACAATATTTTAATAATATAATATTAATATTTTTAAGCCTCTACCAGATTATTTGTAATACTGTTTATTTTCCTTGATGTAGTATTTATATTGTCTATTAAAGCATACAACTGGTGAATGGCCGCTAAAGTGATATAATGGGGACTATTGCCCAAACTTTATTATTTAAAAAAAATCTTCAGTTTGTAACTCAACTTTTGAGAGAAGAGCAGAACGGGCGAGTGTCGCGGAGTTCACGTTACTGGAGATGAGAAAAAATACTGAAAAAAAGAAAATTGAAGGGTATTCTACATCTAAAAGAGCAAAAACAAGTAAAAAGAAGATAAGTTCAGCCGTTCAGCCCTCTGCCATTTGGAAGAAACTTAAAAAAAAATCAAAAATACCGTTTAAATGATGACCTTTATACGGAAGATGTGGACCTGCATACGTATTCATTACCGATATATTACAGCTTTCGAGGTAACTAATACTTTTTTTCTAGTTTTTTTGTTATCAGATTTTCTCTCGTAGTAAATTTAACATTTATCTCCATTATTCGAGCAAAAGTTTGGGAAAGATGTCACCGAACTTGGGAAAATGCCAAAGCTTTTGTTAAAATGTCATGTCAAAGTTTTTATTAAGGTATCATATCTGGCATGCAGTTGGGTAAAAATGCGATCATTTGTGGGACCCTAACAAAAAACATTATTTTGCTTAATAATTAGGCCAAAGTTTTGTTCAAGACATTAAGTTCAACATTTTGGTATTTATTCTCTTTCATAATTTCGCTAAATCCCAAAGTTATGGATATGCCAATTCAAAACAGACAAAAACTCACACAAAATAAGTATTCCTACGAACCTTCATCCAAATACCATTGCAACCACTTATATCCTCCTCTGTATGTGTGATGGAAATAGTTCCACTTATACCCTTTGCTTCTTATTTTGCTGGTTCGCCGTTGAAATGCAGATGAGAAATGGATGAAGATTGTGAAGGGTACTTGCGAAAGGCAAAACCTGTAACTAATTTGATAGAGATTTATAAGGGTGTAGAAAGGTTTCTTGAGATGGCCAGTAATAATGTAGAAAGTCACCAGTAAACAACCAGTCAGCCAACCAAGCAACATTAGCTAAGCACAAAAAATGTATCAAAAGAAAATAGAAAAAAAAAAATGAAACAAAGTATGAATAATTCATGTTATTCAAGTGTATTTACAGTACAATTACGACAATCATGTAACACAACATTCAACTGCAAAATAAAGCTAAACCAAAAATGGAGATGCCAAAGAAGAGGAAGACGAGAAATAAATTGATACTGGAAGTGAATATCTCATTTGTAACGACTAACAAAAAAGGGCAAGGACTTTCTGTTTCGAGTGTATGCATTGGAAAAGGGCACAGAGCCATAATGTGGCAAAAAAAAACAAATGCCGAACAAGAAAACCTTTTTATTGTGTGGCTTATATGAACGATGTATGGATGGCACACAATAAAGTGTCAAATTGTGGGAAAGGAGGAGGCGTTCTCGGTATGAGACAAATGAAAAATATTTGAAATATGTAGCTGTGCAGCTATGTTTGTATGTAAGCTATTACAAATTAAACAAAAACCCTTAGTAAGTTTATTCTCTTATGTGTGTGTGTGTGTGCGTGAAAATAAGTGTAGAAATTCCAAGTTCAAGCTATGTTCTACACAACTATTGTTATCAGTCTAGATGTACACAGAGACATTCTTTTCATTGGGGGAAAAAGGATTCGTTACAAGGAAATGATATGCAGGAAAAACGCAAGGGAATTTCAAAAATTCTCTCGATCAACAAGTCAATTTTGATATTATAATAACGTATGCGCATTTTTTCCTCAACACTGTTGGGAAATTACTTTATAAATGTGTACATTTTTATTTTATTGGCTTTAATGTACAGTTAGTATGAGGTTTGAATAAGTACATAGTTTGCTATTTAATTGCAAGCATTTCAAAATGGATTGACTGAAAAAATTATATTTCTCAAAAAATATTCAGAATTTTGTAAGTGTTCAACGATGACCCCAATATTGAGGATTTTCAAGACAACAGATTTTTTCATTATCTAATAATGATAGACATATAGTTCCTTTAGAATCACATTCTGTGCCATTTAGCCAATTGCGATACAACTTTGCAGAGTTTGTTTTGCCCAAAGACGATTTATGGCCTTTAAACGACCAATGAAGCCGTCGCACGCTGCCCGAATGTTGCTCCGCGGTATTTTGGCCCATTTCCGACGAAGTGCTTGCTTGACACTCGCTTTCGCTTTCCAAAATACTCCAGGCACAATACTCCAACGGATTATCCGACGAAGTGCTTGCTTGACACTCGCTTTCGCTTTCCAAAATACTCCATGCACAATACTCCAACGGCTTGGTATCCGGAGATTTTGGTGCCATTGTGCGCTGGAAAAGAAAGGGATGAACCCCATTTTGTAACCATTCTTGGGTGGCGCGTGCAGAGTACAATGATGCTGAGTTCTGTTGGAATGTCCAAGGTTTGCGGCCAAAATGTTTGCGTGCCCAAGGCTTTTATACATCATCCAGAATATTTTCGCGATAATATTCGGCATTTATCGGCTATTATGGCGGCCCACATCATCACCATGGCCGCTTGGCTTTTTTTCTGGAAACCTCTCACCAAAATGCTTTTGTACGCTTGTAAATAATATAGTGAGCTGTCACTGAATTAATTTTAGCAGCTGTCGGATGAGTGGCTTTGAAATAATAGAAGTCTGAAGTTCGTTGCAGTTTTTTCATCTCACCCTGTATATCATTTTTGACTAACCCCCAGAGAGGGCAGGAGCTACATTGTTCACTAAAATAAATTTGTCTGTATTTTTCTATCATGACTCAATAGGAATGACCTGAGGACAGACAGCCCCAATGTACTTGGTTACCTTGTTTGGTGGTAAAATCTCAATTCTCTAGGTTATAGTGCTCCTCAAACCACACACAACCTGGAGTTGCATTTCTCTTAGATGGAAATTTTATGAGGCGGTGGCACACATTTTTCGAACAACTCACACAATAAGAAACCTTTTCCACACCACAACAATATGGTTCAGAACGATTATAAGTGGATTAATAATCCAACTAACATTTTTTTCTGAGGGCTCTGATTTGAGATTTTTTCCAAGATTTCTAATTGTTTTTTTAGAATTTGCCGATTTCTCTAAATTTCTTCTAAAAATTGGAACAATTTTTGAAAGGGATTCGTAACCAAAATCGAAAATTTTAGCAGAGATTCGGAATAAAATGTTAGCTGGATACAAACAAAATTCATTGTACGATATGTAAGCTAAGATGTTTCGATGCATAGTTGTGGAGTGATAGACTGGGATCCAACTTTTTTCAAAATAAACAGAACATTTTGCATATATTCTTTTCTTGAGATCTGGCGACCAGAGGATTCTAAATAATCTGCACGAGAGTTCGAAAATAGAGTGTAACACAAAAGAGCCCAATAAACACAATTCTTTAACTTAAAAGTCCATAATTACTTCGTAAAACGTAATCAATGATTCTAATTACTTCTCACGCATAACCTGCAATTGTTGCTATTGATTGGATTTAGCGACTACTTTATTTAAAAAAAAAATCGAAAAATTTCGTTAATCACCGAAATTAGAGGCATTTTAATTTTAACGATTTTTTTCGGCAACTCAAAAAATGAGTTAGAGAATCACACACTGTAGCCCATTATTTAAGTGTAATTTGACACTTTTTATTCTATAATAAAGGTCTAAGATAAGACATGGAAAAAAACTGTTTTTATTGGGGTCCCTACACTGAGCTACCTTAAACAAAAAAATATATTGAGGATGAAAAAATAGTTTATATTGTTGTTGTCAAGCCAATGAAATATCTTTTAATTAAAGCCATAACAAATTTAAAAATAAATAACTGAAGTTCTAAACGAATAAGTGTTTAGTCAAATAAAAAGCAGACAGAATTTGTTTAATTTGTGATCAGATAAATAAAAGAAATGTAGGTCAATGCGCGTTATATTCGAAATAAGAAAGCTAAATTAACTGCATATGTGAATAGAAAAACAGTAAAGAATGTCTTAAAGTCGGTCGGGCCGACTTTATGATGCCCTACACAACTTTGCATATTTATTAGAGCTTCACATACTAAAGAAAATTTTTATGAGGAATTTGTAAGAATTAAATCATATCAACTATGATTTTAGTTACAATTTAAAGTCCAAAGGAACTAAAATGTGAGAAGAATATCCTCTGAATCAATTTATACAAAATTTGCCGAGACATTTGTGCCTTTCCAGTTCTGGCTTGTTCTACTCATTTGGTGCACCATTAACGTTATATATAAAACTTTACTTAATTATACCCTCAGCCATATGGCTACAGAGGGTATATATCATTTGATACGGTCAAAACGTGCCTAGTCGAAATAATGGTTTTAGACCCTAGGTATCTTTGGGCCAAATCCGTTTCAGAACATTTGGAGTCGATCTAGCGATGTCCGTCCGTCCGTTTGTCTGCCTGTCTGGCTGGCTGGTGCGCACGATAACTCTCGAAGGGAGTATCCGATTTGGTCCAAATTGGCTACAACGTAATATTTTTGTCAAACTTAGATCGAGTTCGGAGATGGGCAATATCGGTCCACTCCTTCTGGTACCTCCCCCACAAAATGTCGAAATTTTCAAAAAATATATTTTTTGCACAGGAAGAGAAAGGATAATCCGAATTTGCTCCAACTTTGCAAATCCTAATATTTGCATCAGTGCTAGGTCAGGTGTGAAAATGGGCAATATCGGTCCACTCCATCAAGTACCTCCCCCACAAATGGTCAAAATTTTGAATAATTACAACTTTCATAAAATGTTATGTAAGAGTCCGATTGTCTTCAAATTTCACACATCCCAATATTTATATTAACCCAAGGTCTGGTGTTAAGATGAACAATATCGGCCCACTCCTTCTGGTACCTCCGCCACAAAAGGTCGAAATTTAAAAAAAAAAAAAACAATTTTTTTTGCACAGAAAGAGAAAGGCTAATCCGAATTTGCTCCGACTTTGCGAATCCTAATATTTGCGTCAGTGCTAGGACAGGTGTGAAAATGGACAATATCGATCCACTCCATCAAGTACCTCCCCCACAAAATATTGAAATTTTGAGTACCCATGAAGCTCATAAATCGCCAAATTAACATCCGATTCCATTTAGACTTGGCACATCTGTCGAAAAATTTATATCATATTTTGGGTCCGATAGGAAATGGGCAATATTGGCCCATACCTTCGGGATCTGCTCCATAGAGGGTCAAACGATTGAATAACCTTAACACTAGTCAAAATATATTTAGATAATCGAACATAGGCTGAGGGTATATCTCTGGCGGCAATACCGACTGATATCGGACAAAGACTGATATATACGAAGATATATATGGGAGCTATATCAAAATTTTGACCAATTTTCCCCAATTTCAATAGGTTTCGCCATTGGACCAAACAATTTATTTATGCAAAATTTTATCTGGATCGGACAATAAAGGCGACCTGTACTTTGTTTTGCAAAAATACATGGACAGACGGACATGCATATATGGACTCAGAATGCGATTCTATGCAGATTATCAAAAGGAACTATGGGTCTCTCTCGTTTCCTCTTTTCTGTTACAAACAAATGCACAAAGACATTACACTGACCACCTTGTGGTGCAGGGTATAATAAAAAAGTAGAGATAATAGTAACGGTTATGAAAATACATGAAGCACAAAAGTTTGAAGTTTAAAAATTTGATTTTCTATTTGAGAAAAAAGTTATAGCTATTGTGAAACAGAACAAAAAGCAATTAAATTTCATCTTCAAAAATGTCCAAAGATCAAGTTTTTTTATAATTTTTCACGGGAAAGAAAATAGACCGTTATAAATCCAAACAACAAAGATATATCTAACATCTCAATCAACAACTTTCTAGATAAATATTAACTTTTTAAAAGGAGTTCCTAAAGGTAAAAAAAATATACAAGGTGAGATGAAAAAACCAACTTCAGACTGCCGTTATTTCTAAGCCACTTGGCTGACAGCTGTTAAAATTATTCCAGTGACAGCTCATTATATTGTTTACAAGCGTTCACAAAAGCATTTTGGTGAGAATTTTCCAGAAAAAAGTATTTCGTGATGGATGGCTATTGTTAGAGCACTCCAGCATTTAAATGTAAATAAATCTTTTGTGTCCCGTACCATCGCTCGTTACCGTGATACTGGTAGCGTAGCCCGATGTCAAAGAAGTGGACGGAAGAAAACAGCAACATCAGCAGAAATGGTTGGTAAAGAAACGACTTGATCGAAACCCGCGTCGCAGTGGGCGAAAAATGGCCCGTGAGCTGAACATATCGCAATATTCCATTCGGTAAATATTGAAAAATTAATATTGAAAAATGAGCTCGGGGTAAAGCCATTGAAATTCCAAAAAGAGCTAAAGAGTTTCTTCACTTGGCCGAAAGTGGTGAACTGCCGAATTTGGTTTTCTTTGGTTTTTTTTTTTTTTTCAATGAGAAAACGTTCGTTGTCCTGCAGTTTGTAAACAAACAATATGATCGTGTTTACTTGCCAAAGAGGTCAGCTGAAAATGTGCACCTTCGGTTGGCCACCAGAACTCAAGCGCCGGCCATGGTGACAGAATAAATGGCGAACATTATCGCGAAAATATTCTGGAGGGTGTACTGGGCTCGCAAACATTTTGGCCGCAGACCTTGGACATTCCAACAGGACTCATCACCATCGCACTCAGCACGTGCCACCCAATAATGGTTAAAAAATTATGTTCTCGCTTCATTTCCAGCGCACAATGGCCACCAAAATATCCGGATACCAATCCGTTGGACTATTGTGTGTTGATCACCTCAAGCAAGCGCTTCGCCGGGAATGGACCAAAATACCACAGAGCAACATTCGGGCAGCGTGTGACGGTTTCATTAGCCGTTTGAAGGCCATAATTCGTGCAAAAGGTGACCATTTCGAGCAAATCTAAACATATTCTAAAATTTGAATGCTATTTTCGATATTTTTGGCTTTCATTCAATAAAATTAAAAATTATGACGTTTGACTTTGATGCAGTTTTATTTCTCATCCTGTAGATTAAATTCGAAGCAATCTTTTTTGCAATCTTGAACTGCACGTTGTAAAGCTAATACAGCTAAAACTGTTGTTACCTTTTCAATCAAAAAATCAACTGCATATAATTTTACACCAATAACACCAGATGTTCAATATTGATTTCAAAATATATTTTTCTTTCTAAGCCAGTATTCATTTCTCGTCATGCCTTTGCAATATTTCAAGCCATATGGCCTAGTGAATATTCTTAGTTATTTTAAATTAAAAAAATATATATATTAAATAATATCGGATTAAAAATTAGCATTGCAGTTGAACAAAACGAATTTCTTTAAATATTCTAAACTGAACAAAATTCTGTCTAACAAATCTTTAAACACAGGAAAAGAAACATTAGCAAGAAACAAGGTAAGCTGTTGTCTGTACAAAGTCTTCTTACCAATATTGAGAATGTTGTATCTAATATCCAATTTGAAAACAGTTTCTTTATGACAGTTGGATTTGTGGTAATCGAACACGTGATAACTTATGGAAAATCGCGTACTATTTGTTTTGGCCAACGTTCACTATTTCCTTGGTTTTTATTTTATTTTTTATTCTTTCTAATAACAATAGAAGCACTGATGCATAATGGATGCATATTTCAAAGTCGGTAGCAACAGAAACACAAAAAACCAATGCACACAATGGCTTGTATGGAAATCAAATTGGCTAACAAACAACAAAGTTTTTGTTTAAATCGCTTTTTTCTTTGGAAAACTTCCACCTTTTTTCTTTGCACTAACGAGCACCCAATAAATCTAATATGGGGGGCTTGTATTAAAGATTCATAAACCGAATACAAAAATACAAAAGAAAATATATCCAAAGAAAACCGACCACTTCACTTCGCCAGCAAAAGAAATAACTAACGATTTTCGAGATCACCTGAGTTGGACACTTTCTTTCGATTAACGAGATTTGCGACAACGGATAGTACACCATGAGACAAGAGCCAGTAGAGAACTGAATCGAGTCGAGAAGGAACCACCACACTTGGGCCATAATGCACATGCGAAAATCTCCAAGAAAGTAAAGAGAGGAAATTCAAAAAAAAAAAAAACGCACACACAAAAATAGTCATCATTGGGGGCTTTGGGGGCCTTTCATGGATTCATTGAAAACCGTCATAGCAATAACAACAAACAAATGTCGAAAAAAGCGAGAAAAACAAAATTTTGTGGGCAAACCAAAAACAAAACTCAGGCAGTCTGCCTGCCTGCCAGCCATTGGGGAGAAATGCATGTCTCGGTCAAGTACAAGACAGGCGCAGTAAGCCATAGCAATGATAAGGATGGTGATGTGAAATAGAAAGCACGGTGTATTTTCCGAAATTGGAAATTAGAGGTAACGAGTTCAAAGTTCAGGCACCACACACGCAGCACCTGAATTTATCAATGAAATAAAATTACCGGTCTCACTTTCTTTTATGAAAACCTTGATAAAAATAAATGAAATATAACTTACCCGCTTCCAGAAGAGCGACAGCAGTACAACGTGAACAAATATGTTTGGTTTCGAAGGCAAAAAATTATTTGATTTGAAAAAGGAATGAAAGTCAAGAAGCGCTTGTTTTCGCTTTCGCTATGAACTTTTTGATGTTAGTGTTGTTGCTTTTTATTCTCTCATCGAGATGACATTATTCATGTCATTCGTTTGTTTAGAATAGAAAATAATGGAGAATGTTGAATTGTTGTGAATGAGGATATGGAGGAGTGAAAATCACCTGTTACTTCATTTGCATTAAACTGAAATATGGCAACACTAGGCAGCAAGCTTGCAAGAATATTTTTCACATTTTCTATTCCCATTTGCTAACTCATTTTCTTATGAGATTCCATATTTGAAACAATTTATATCAATTTCTCATTGTTTATTATCCTCACGTTATGAACTAAACACTATTTCTCATTAATTTCTTTCATTTTTTAACACAGAAAACACTTCAAACAGGGCAAATAGACATTTCACGACCGACTAAATCAACGAACACGACTAAATGAGCTTCAGCTTTCATGTGTAACTAGACTTGGCAGCACTTTTATGAAATCACCCTTGATGGAGAAGGAAAATAGTGAATCTAAAGCATAATTTACGGCGTAATGAAAATTAAACTAGGTGAGTTCACATCATACCAATTATTTATATGGATAAAACCGTGCCAAGGGGCAAATGAAATCGAATATTTTCAGCCTGTTATTGTTAAGTATCGACTCTTAAATATTCACTTACGATGAAGAGCATATTTTATGCATTTTATTCTTATCTTTATCTTATCGTTAAACATTCAGTTGTCGCTTTTTTCGTTTACAAAAAAAATCCAAACAATTTGTGATATATACAGGGTGAGATGAAAAAACTGCAACCAACTTCAGACTGCTGTCATTTCTAAGCCACTCGTCCGACAGCTGTTAAAATTATTCCAGTGACAGCTCATTATTTCCAGAAAAAAAAGTTATTCGTTATGAAATTCATGCGTGATAGTGTGATTTCTTTATATTTGGCTTGCAAACCACAAGTGGCTATCGTTGGAGCCCTCCTACATTTAAATGTGAATAAATCTTTTGTGTCTCGTACCATCGTTCGTAACCGTGATACTAGTAGCGTAGCCCGGATGGATGAAAACAGCAACATCAGCAGAAATGGTTCGAAAAGTAAAGAAGCGACTTGATCGAAACCCGTATAGCAATGGCCGAAAAATGGCTCGTGAGCTGAACATATCGCAATATTCCATTCGGTAAATATTGACAAATGAGCTCGGGGTAAAGCCATTGAAATTCCAAAGAGTGCAAGAACTTACAACGCAACAGAAAGAAAATAGACTCAAAAGAGGTAAAGAGTTGCTTCGTCTGGCCGAAAGTGGTGAACTGCCTAATTTGATTTTCTCCGATGAGAAAACATTCGCTGTCCAGCAGTTTTTAAACAAACAAAATGATCGTGTTTATTTGCCAAAGAGGTCAGCTGAACTCAAGCGCCGGCCATGGTGATGGTGTGGTCCGCCATAACAGCCGATGGTCGCTCTCCGCTCGTATTAATCGACCGTGGCATCAGAATAAATGCCGAATATTACCGCGAAAATATTCTGGAGGGTGTACTAAAGCCTTGGGCTCGCAAAATTTTTGGCCGCAGACCTTAGACATTCCTACAGCACGTGCCACCCACTAAAGGTTTCAAAATGAATTTGGCAATTCTCAAAAACAATAAAATCCGTTAAAATTTCAGTTACCATTGCACAAAATGAAATTCCTCTCTTCATTTCCAGCGCACAATGGCCACCAAAATCTCCGGATACCAATCCGTTGGACTATTGTGTCTGGAGTATTTTGGAAGGCAAAGTTGGCACTAAAAAATACCAAAGTGTCGATCACCTCAAACAAGCGCTTCGCCGGGAATGGGCCAAAATAACGCAGAGCAACATTCGGGCAGCGTGTAACGGTTTCATTGGCCGTTTGAAGGCCATAATTCGTGCCAAAGGTGGCCAATTCGAACAAATCTAATCTTATTCTAAAATTTGAAGCTATTTTCGACATTTTTTTTCTTTCATTCAATAAAATTTAAAAAAAAAATGTAAAAACTATGACGTTTGACTCTGTTGGAGGTTTTTCACCACACCCTGTAAATTATACACTAAATTGTAATAGGATTCAGTGTCGTCACAACCCCCCCCCCCCCCCTTCGTATGTCATGGCGTTTTTGTTGCAGTGTCCTGCAATTCGGCCCATCACAAGCTTCCAGTCCAGCTTTGTCATGGATATAAGTGACCTTGATCTCCTTACGGAGTTCAACGGCCAAATCTTTTAGAGACATTACATCCCCTTTCAGTTAGCCAGTTCTGTTATGCTGTTAGCCAAGATAATGCTTATGCAGTACTTGGAAGAAGTGACATAATAGTGGCTTCACTGAACTCTCAATCTCTAGATCTACTGACTTAGATCCGCGTCTGGCCAATTTATTGTCAGATATGTTGCAGTGTCTAGGGACCCAACAGAGTTTGACAAACGATTAAACATTTTCCAGAGCATTCGTGCATCCCAGAACTGTCAAAGATATATATTGTAAATGAATTTAGAGCCGTCAGGGCCGCTTGGCTATCGACATATACATATAGTCACCGGTCCGATCAGTTCATTGATTCTATTTACCACTAGCTCTATGACCTTCCTGACATCAAAGATTTCTGCCTGAAAAGTATAGGCAGCTATACCGTTAAAAGGTGGAGTGTCACGGGTCCAGATGCCTCTGTTAGGTATGTGGATATCAAGTAGTTCAATGCTGTGCCTAGTGATATAAAATCTCTAGCTATCTCTGCATTAATTCAATCGAACTTACTCCCAATTGAAAACGAGTAAAGCAAACTCGTTCTTGTTCGAATGACATCGAGTGGTGTTCTCCCGCTCGAATTCGAGTGATTTTCACTCCTTACTTGTCTGTGAGCGATTATTTCTAATTTTTCGATAGGATAGAGAGGATGCATTCAGTAATTATTACAATGTGCAATGTTGGAACGTTCCATCCAGGGATACACATGGCTAAACCTACAGCAAGGATTTTCGAATCATTATTTCGACTATATTGTCTGAGGATAGAGGAAAACAAATGTTTGATTTTTCTTAATATCTAAATTTTATTATAAAAAATTATCTTAAAAAAATACATAATATTACAATACAAAAATTAATTTATTTGTCATTTTGTTTCGGTTGAACACTACCTAGAGTAAGAATTCATTTCAATACTGGGCTACATTGTTGCGAATAATTATTTTAAATTTCAACGTAAAGGCCAATATTGTTTTGTTTTTTTTTTGTTCTTGTATAAATTATATCACAGGCTTACTAACTACATTACAACAACAATATCCAGATATCAGCCATATAAGGCCTCGCAAGGCATTACATGATGGCATCTGAACTGACTTTTCCTTTCCAAATTGAAGGCGAAGACTGAAATGCATTCCTTATTTAAACATACGACGACGAACTACGAACTAAACAAAACAATTATCGTATCAGAATAAATTATCGAACTAAACTACTTGGGAATTTTTTGTTTGTTTCTGTTGAAGTGGCGATTTGTGATGAAAAAAAAAACTTTCCCCTCGGATTGATTTTGTTTCCGTCTAAAAAATGTGACTGGTTGCAATGAAATACTCGTACTCGTATGAACAACGTACGTAATTGCATTTCAATTTTTGTGTTTCAATTCAACTTAAATCATATCCAACGGCAATTACGATGAAATGTAAGTTGTTGTTTTTTTTTTTTTTTTTTTGCTGTAATACTAAGATTGCTCTATGCACTTTGATGTTGTGGGGATGAAGGGGGCAAATGTGGATGCTGCTGCGGTTGTTGTTGTGACTGTGGAATAGCAGCTGCTGATGTATCTGTCATATGTTGAGGCCAATAATCTTGATTATCATTGGTGACTAGTAATTCGCGCATGCCATAACGTTGTCTGAAATGAAACGATTAAGAGAAGAAAATTAATTTAATTAGAATGAATTAACATCAATTAACAATATAAACTAAATCAAATGGAAACAAGGGAATTTCCAAGTGACAGCTTGCGATGTATTGAAATAGAGAGAGAGAGAGAGAGAGAGAAAGAGAGACAACAAGGGGCGCTCATATTGTTTATTCTTTAGGTTTTAAAAACAATGGAATAATAAACAGTGTACAGATTGATCCAGACTCAAATAGAAGTTATTGAAAAGTCTACATAAAAAATGTAATACTTAAATGTTACAGAAAGTCCAACGAATGTGCTTGCGTTGCAATGAGGTAAACACCAACCAGGGCTTTAGAGACAATTTTATAGATATTCAGAAGCCACGTGGCATACCATTAACAATAGTTATGGGTAACAATGGGAGAGTCAATGGAAAACATTATATCGGATCGGAAACTTCAAAAATTGTAGCTGCCTCATATGACATTAATTCCTACCGCAGACTCGTGGATCGTCGGATTCCTATTACAAATGTATATTGGAGACTGATGTTACACAGACGTCTCGGTACTAGGTGGAGAGCGGGACTGGAACTTTTTATTGAAAACCTATACCGTACCCTCTTTTCTCTTGCCCGATCATAATACGATACTTCAAGCGAAGGTCCGGGCGTTTGCAGAGTATCTGGCGTAATGCCAATACGAGACATCCTAACGGACTGTAAGATCGCAATAAATGCTATGACTTTCCAAGGTAGTAAAATCAAACACTGAATTGGAAGTAAACACTCAATCGATAACTATTCTCAACACGGCTCAGTACCAGATCATGCGAGCAAACTGTCTTAACAAAGCAGGCATGCAATTAACGATAGTAAACTTGGACAACACAATGCCGCTAAATGTGTCACGTAAAAAAAACATATTCCTGTGGAACCCACACAAAAATCCTATGGGGAGACCCCAATGCAGAAAAAACGAAGAATCTTTCATTACTAGGTAAGAAAGAGATAGGTGGGTTAATAGGCATCCTTACAGTTCACCTGGCTAAACAAACTCATTTCTACAAGATAGGATGTGCAAATAACAGCATATACAAGGTGAGATGAAAAAACTGCAACCAACTTCAGACTGCTTTATTTCTAAGCCACTCGTCCGACAGCTGTTAAAATTGTTCCAGTCACAGCTCATTATATTGTTTACATGCGTACAAAAGCATTTTGGTGAGAATTTTCCAGAACAAAAATGTATTCATTTTGGAATTCCAGCGTGATTGTTTGATTTCTTTATGTTTGGCTGGAAAACCACAAGTGGCTATCGTTAGAGCACTCCAGCATTTAAGTATGAATAAATTTTTTGTGTCTCGTACCTTCGCTCGTTACCGTGAGGCTGGTGGCATAGCCCAAGGTCAAGGAAGTGGACGGAAGAAAACAGCAACAACAGCTCAGATGGTTCGAAAAGTAAAGAAACGACTTGATCGAAACCCGCGTCGCAGTGGCCGAAAAATGGCTCGTGAGCTGAACATATCGCAATATTCCATTCGTCAAATATTGAAAAATGAGCTCGGGGTAAAGCCATTGAAATTCAAAAAAGTGCAAGAACTTACACCGCAACAGAAAGAAAATAGACTCAAAAGAGCTAGAGAGTTGCTTCGTTTTGCCGAAAGTGATGACCTGCCGAATTTGGTTTTCTCCGATGAGAAAACATTTGTTGTCCAGCAGTTTGTAAACAAAGAAAATGATCGTGTTTACTTTCCAAAGAGGTCAGCTGAAAATGTGCACCTTCGGTTGGCCATCAGAACTTAAACGCCGGCCATGGTGATGGAGTGGGCCGCCATAACAGCTAAATGTTGCTCTCCGCTCGAATTAATCGACCGTGGCATCAGAATAAATGCCGAATATTATCGCGATAATATTCTGGATGGTGCATTAAAGCCTTGGACACGCAAACATTTTGGCCGCAGACCTTGGACATTCCAACAGGACTCAGAATGGTTACAAAGTGGGGTTCCTCACTTCATTTCCAGCGCACAATGGCCACCAAAATCTCCAGATACCAATCCGTTGGACTATTGTGTCTGGAGTATTTTGGAAAGCAAGGTTGGCACTAAAAAATATCAAAGTTTCGATCTCCTCGAGCAAGCGCCTCACCGAGAATGGGCCAAAATACCGCAGAGCAACATTCGGACAGCGTGTGACGGTTTTATTGGCCGGTTTTATTCGTGCCAAAGGTGACCAATTCCAACAAATCTAAACTTATTCTAAAATTTTATGATATTTCCGATTTTGCTTTCATTCAATAAAATTAAAAAAAAAATGTAAAAATTATGGTATTTGACTTTGTTACAGTTTTTTTTATACCCTACAACACTATGTGTTGGGGGTATTATAAGTTTGATTGGCCCAAAAATTATGTAACACCTCGAAATATTGGTTTCCCACATAGGAAAGTATATATGGATCATCCTATCTCGCCGAGCTGAGTCGATCTAGCTATGTATGTCCGTCCGTCCGTCTGTCCGTCTGTCCGTCTGTCCGTCTGTCCATGTTAATTTGTAATCACTCTACAGGTCGCAATTATGGCCCGATCTTCGCGAAATTTGGAATGGAGGTCGGGGTCGGGCCAGAATAGAACCCTATTTCTTTTTGAGATGATAGCCAAATGTTTAGGGGTTGAAATGGACCAAATACTGAAAAAATTTCGGATTTTGCAGTAGCTATACAGATCGCAATTATAGACCAATCGACGGGGAATTTCGCATGTAGCTAGAGTTTAGGACGGGGAAGAAGCCTACCAATTTGGGTGGTCATCGGATAATATTTAGCGGGTAAAATAGACCATATATTTTGTGTTGAAAAAATTCAAAATTTTTCATTAAACCGCGAACATTTTAAATCCCGGCGAAATCACAAAGCCATGACAAGGTTACTTCTGACCTTTACATTGATGTTAAATTCCAACAAATCAGATATATAGCAAAATATGTGCGATATATATGTCTATCAAAGAAGATATGCTTGAAAGATCTCTTATATGTCGAGAACGGCTGAACTGATTTCGACAGTTCTCATTAATTCAGAAATGCCTCTTGGCAGGAAAGAAAAAACGTTTAAAAAAATCGCATAAAAATATCTCTCTAAAGATGAAAATATTGATTTTGTAAAATTTTCTCATATTTTTTTCAATTTTGTCATATTTTTGGCATAATTTCATTTTGAATTAAACATTTGGTAATATTTCTACAGCTAACAAAACTAAGTATTTAGAATATCAGGATATCATATACAGATCGCATTTATGGCCCGATCCTTACGAAATTTTGCATGGGGATAAGATGAGGGTCAGAATAGAAGCCTACTCTTTTTGGAGATGATCGCCATATATTTAGGGGTTGAAATGGACCAAAAAAGTGCAAAATTGTCGGCAGGTCGTAATTATCGCCCGATCCTCACGCACATTTGAAAGGGGGTTACCGGACATTGCAAAAGCCAAGCAGTTTTGGATGGCTATCCAAAAATATTCAATGTGTGAAATAGTTTGCCAACTTTTGTAGACAAAATACGAAAATGTCCATTCCAGAGACTTTTTTGAAAATTCACAAATACAGGAAAGACGCACTTCTGACTATTTCGTTAACGAATATAGTCAAATGTCTGTATCTCATATAGATGCGTTTCAGTCAAAAACCAATAATAAATGTTAATCTTTTGCCACTTCTAAGAGATTATAGGTCTTTGGGAAATATTGGTTCCAGATCTAGGAAGACCATTTAAGTGCAACATCTACCAATAAATTGAAAATGAGCAAATTAGTTTAAGTTGCTATTATTCGAAAATTAGAGAACGAAACCTGATGGTTATCTTTTATAATTTGTCACAATATCTTGTGGAATTCTTTCGAGTATCTCGCCTATATAAACTGTATCGTTTATTATAGTGTTGTAGGGTATTCAACGGTCGGCCCCGCTCGACTGTAGCCTTTGCTTACTTGTTTTTATCTCACTCTGTATATTTAATGGACAACCTCTATGTACCTTGATCTTACTAGACGAATCTCTTTCATTTACCACACATTGCTAAAATTCACATTTCAATATCTACTTACTCAATATGATTACGCCATATAACAACAGCCGTATATAAGGCTATGGAAACTAAAGCCAGTACAACCAAAATGATGCTCAATATTAAATGACTTGTGGCCAGGGCTTTTTTATCGGCTCTCTCTTCTTCATCGGCTTCATTCATTTCGATATTTTCATTAATAAATTCATCGGTATTAATGACAATCGAAGGTCCCCTATAGCGTTCTTCAATTTCGGAAACCTCAGAACTTTTATCTTCGCCAGATTCCAAAATTTCAACATCATATTTGAAATTCTCAAAGACGGTGGTTAGTTTGGGATTTGGTAACATATCTTCGTCACGATGTGAATATGCAGGTTGGGAGGACATCGATGAAGAGTCCTGAAATAATAAAAAAAGAAGAATAACGTTTAAAAACTTAAAAAAATTCTGAAAAGGATCTTAATTTAAACTAGTGTTTAGACGAGACAAAAATGTTAAAACAGAGTTATATTTTGCCAACACAAACATATGTTGGCGATGTCAAATAAGTTCGGCCGGGCCGAAGATTTTATATCCTACCCCAGTTGGAAAATAACGCATTTAAAAATATGTCGGTTAATTCCGAAATTCCAGTATAATAGGTCAATGCGTCACTTCTGGCATTAGTAAAAAATATTTTAAATTTTAAACAGTTCGATAAAAAATGTGGCAAAAATCATTGAAATATCGAACATTAGGAGGATGGAAAAACGTTGACCTATGTGAGATAAAAAAACTGCAACAAAGTCAAACGCCAAAATGTTTAAATTTTTTTCTTTTAATTTCATTGAATCAAAGCAATAAATGTCGCAGCATCAAATTTTAGAATAAGTTTAGATTTCTTCGAATTGGTCACCCTTGGCACGAATTATGGCCTTCAAAGGCCAAACAACCGTCACACGATGCCCGAATGTTGCTCTGCGATATTTTGGCCCATTTCCAAATACTCCAGACACAATAGTCCAACGGATTTTTATCCGGAGATTTTGGTGGCCATTGTGCGCTCGAAATGAAGCGAGGAGCCTCATTTTGTAACCAATCTTGAGTGGTGCGTGCTGAGTGCGATGGCGCTGAGTCCTGTTGGAATGTCCAAGGCCTGCGGCCAATATGCTTGCGTGTCCAAGGCTTTAATACACCCTCCAGAATAATTTCGCAATAATTTATTATTCTGATGCCACGGTCGATTAATATGAGCGGACAGCGACCATCGGATGTTATGGCGCCCCTCACCATCACCATGACCGGCGCTTGAGTTCAGGTGGCACACTGAAGGTGCACATTTTTGGCTGACCTCTTTGGCAAGTAAACACGATCATTTTGTTTGTTTACAAACTGCTGGACGAGGAATGTTTTCTCATCGGAGAAAACCAAATTCAGCAGTTCACCAATTTCGCCCAAGCGAAACAACTCTTTAGCTATTTTTTTTTGTTGCGGTGTAAGTTCTTGCACTTTTTGGAATTTCAATGGCTTTACCCCAAGCTCATTTTTCAATATTTGCCGAATGAAATATTCCGATATGTTCAGCTCACGAGCCATTTTTCGGCCACCGCGAAGCGGATTTCGATCAAGTCGCTTCTTTACTTTTCGCTGATGTTGCTGATTTCTCCCGTCCACTTCCTTGACGTCGGGCTACGCTACCAGTATCATGGTAACGAGCGATGGTACAAAACACAAAAATGTATTCACATTTAAATCCTGGAGTGCTCTAAAGGTAGCCACTTGTGGTTTTCCAGCCAAATATAAAGAAATCACACTGTCACGCTTGTATTCCATCATAAATACCTTTTTTCTGGAAAATTCTCATCAAAATGCTTTTGTACGCTTGTAAACAATATAATGAGCTGTCACTGGGATAATTTTAACAGCTATCGGACGAGTGGTTTAGAAATGACAGCAGTCTGAAGTTGGTTGCTGTTTTTTCATCTCACCCTGTATGTAAGGTGCTACAACCCGTTATGAACGCTATATGCCGAATTTCAAACAATTATCTTAGAAATTGTCAAAATACCGAATATCGGGATTTGTATGGCTGTCACCATCATTTAAGGAACGGTTTTGCCAATAATGAATTTCCTGAAGAACATTGGGCGCCACTATGATTGGGGTTGTATAGTTGTATACATTCGCTTCTATCTTCCATTGAAGTCAAAAAATAAGGCTATAGGCCTTAATTCTAAACTTTCTCAACTATACATTGCATTGAGTCCAATGTATTTAAATATTTAGATGTCTCCATCACTTTAGAAATGGTTTTGCCAATAATGAATCTCTTGAAAAATATTGGGCGCCACTATTATTTATACGGTTTTATAGTTGTACACATTCGCTTCTATCTCCCATTGACCTCCAAAAAATATATCCTATAGTCTTACTGAAATTTAAAATGTCTCAACTATACATTGTATCCTTTTGATACCATCTGGGTCCAATATATTTAAATCTATAAAAAAGGCAATGTAAGTGTCATCAATGGAATTGTAAAACACAAAACAAATTTCATTAAATTCTCACACAAATCAACATAAATATCAAATTAGTCAGTTTATATATTTCTTTAGTCTTTAAATAGAAAGTTTAATGAACTTATAAAGTGAACATGTGGTGATGATGTGGGTTTTCACGTTACTGACTCTTCTGTGGTTTTAAAGATGAAAGGAAAAAAACGTCGCAATATACATTTAATTATTATTTCCTGTCTTTGTGTCTTTACGCGGTCTTGTTCAAATAATTTTTGCGTATTTTAAGATATACAAAGGAACAAAACGCACGACCACTAAACTAGGTGAACATTTCGTACAGATTTAGTGAACTAAATTTATTTCACCATTTCTCTTTCGTGATGAGCTATTAATCTATAATAATATATTTGTTATAATATATCTTTTAAATGTTACCAAGAAACCTGTCATACCTGCTACGCAAATGTTGAATAAATTAGATTTGAAATCATTATAATTTCGGGAACACCCTAATCTACATATTAACATACAAATTTGTATATAAAGCGCCTGTTTAATTTTGGCACGCTTCTTCAACTTCCTTAACCAGAATATCAGACAATAAAATAAATATTTGAAATGCTTACTTCGATCATCATCATCGTTAGCAGCCGGCACCAAATAAAATACAAAATATATGCGAGAACATAAATAAATTTCAAATATTTTAATGACTCATAAGTTCACAGAATGTTTAACGCATTCACCTTTTCCAAGTGTTAGGGCAACCTTAGGTATTCCCAATGGAATTCTCAAAACCATTTCTTTGTCATGATTAACTTTTTTATTCCAATTGGCAAAAGTGACGTAAAAGCGATGAGTAGCAGTATTTTAAGGTAATGATTAAACCTAATGGAGAAATGGCAGGAGATATGTCTCAGTGTTCAAATGGATAATCCAATGACTCATTTCGTTAGGATAGGCGAAGCAAAAGAGAAAATACAATGAGGGATATGAATAAGTAATAAAGTCTGAATATGAAGATCTTGAAAAATCATTTATCTGTAATACACATTCATTTCCGATATAGACCAATGCTAATGACTGCCAGTCAGAAATTCTCAAATTTGTCATTGGCAAGCAATTAAAATCGTAGGGTCCAGAAGTAAAATTAATTGGTTTTAAATATCATCCATGTGTATTTCCGAGTGTTTGTCAAAATTCCCATTTTACATATATATGTCTTTTATTTTCTTTGATTACAGGGTGAAATGAGAAAAAACTGCAACCAACCTCAGACTGCTGTCATTTCTAAGCCACTCGTCCGACAGCTGTTAAAATTATTCCAGTGACAGCTCACTATATTGTTTACAAGCGTACAAAAGCATTTTGGTGATAATTTTTCAGAAAAAAAGTTATTCGTGATGGAATTCAAGCGTGATAGTGTGATTTCTTTATATTTGGCTGGAAAACCACAAGTGGCTATCGTTAGAGCACTTGAGCGTTTAAATGTGAATAAATCGTTTGTGTCTCGTACAATCGCTCGTTACCGTGATACTGGTAGCGTAGTCCGACGTCAAGGAAGTGGACGGAAGAAAAGAGCAACATCAGCAGAAATTGGTTGAAAAGTAAAAAAGCGACTTGATCGAAACCCGCGTCACAGTGGCCGAAAAATGGCTCGTGAGCTGAACATATCGGAATATTCCGTTCGGCAAATATTGAAAAATGAGCTCGGGATAAAGCCATTGAAATTCTAAAAAGTCTAAGAACTTACACCGCAATAGAAAAAAAATAGACTCAAAAGAGCTAAAGATTTGCTTCGCTTGGCCGAAAGTGTTGAACTGCCAAATTTGGTTTTTTTCCGATGTGAAAACATTCGTTGTCCAGCAGTTTGTAAACAAACAAAATGGTCGTGTTTACTTGCCAAAGAGGTCAGATGAATATATGCACCTTCGGTTGGCCACCAGAACTCATGCGCCGGCCATGGTGATAGTGTGGGCCTCCATAAAAGCCGACCGTTTTAATCGCTCGTATTAATCGACCGTGGCATCAGAATATATGCCGAATATTATTGCGAAAATATTCTGGAAGGTGTATTAAAGCCTTGGGCATGCAAACATTTTGGCCGCAGACCTTGGACATTCCAACAGGACTCAGCACCATCACACACAGCACGCGCCACCCAAGAATTGTTACAAAATGAGGTTCCTCGTTTCATTTCCAGCGCATAATAGCCACCAAAATCTCCGGATACCAATCCGTTGGACTATTGTGTCTGGAGTATTTTGGAAAGCAAGGTTGGCACTAAAAAAATGCCAATTGTCGATCACCTCAAGCAAGCGCTTCGCCGGGAATGGGCCAAAATACCGCAGAGAAACATTCGGGCAGCGTGTGACGGTTTCATTGACCGTTTGAAGTTCATAGTTCGTGCCAAAGGTGACCAATTCAAACCAATCTAAACATATTCTAAAATTTCATGCTCTTTCCGATATTTTTTTAAAATTTTCTGTTGTTTGATTTGAAATTAGTTAAAAAATTAATATTTTTGATAGTTTTATCCGAAAATTGAAAAAAAATTAATTAAAATATATTAGAAATTTGGAAAAGTATCGGAAAAAATTGGATGATATGTTTCAAATGGGTTTTCATGGTGATATACACAAAATCTTTCTAGTTCTTTCTTTTTGGAAAGAACGGAAAAAAAATCTCGTAAAAAAATGAGTTAACCTCTGATGATCCAGGCTTTTTTTGTTTTGCTTGTTTTTTTTTTCAAACGAACCAAAAGACGCGATTTGAAGATTACTCAGAAACTTTTCTAGAAAAGCGGTAGAAAATCTCGACAAAAAACGCACATCAAGCCCTGGAAAAAACAATCCAGATGCCCATGCACCCTGATCTGTAAGGTATTGCGTACGATCACGG